AGATGCGGGTGCAGTGCGGTGGTATGCGGGGATCGGCTCCATAAATGTTGGAGTGTACCGTTATTCGTCTCCTCTCTGTTTTTTTTTCCTCCCATGGAGCTGCTGGGACCTGCAACGACGCTGCGTTGCTACTGGCCGGCTGAGACGCGTAGCCCCGCCCCGTGTGCGGCACGTGACCGCCGCTGACGCCCTGGCGTTTTACAACATCAGGAACATGAGGACGAGGGAAACAATAATAACAGAGGGTGCTGTGTGTTGAGTGTAGGCAGAGACGGACTTTAAGGTTATGCAGTACCGCCCCTCATTTCTTCATAATTTGCTTCCAAAGAGCCAGACTCGTTTTTCAAAGTGGTCTTGGATTTTTCCAGACATTCCGATGGTCTTCCAAAGTTTTTTTCTTTTTTTTTTTTTTTGGAACATGGGCTGTTTTTTCACTCATTTTTAGTCCAGTCCATCTGATCCTTTTCAGAGGAATGTTTCTTGGTTTTTTTGCAGTTTTTGTTTTTTAATTAAGCCGCTTAGTGAAAGAATCAATTTCAAATTGCATTTCTGCCTCAGTATGGTGTACAGTGTGTACACGTGGGGGATAAAAGAAGAAGTGACAGGCTTAAAAAATTATCTACTGCAGATAAACAGTATTTGATTGGCATGTCCTTGAGGAGAAAAGGTAAAGACCTGACACAGGACCAGAGAAATGTATCTGGCCCTCCTGTTGACATATAGTGTCCATTGAAGCCTCATCAGAAATGGTCTCAGTGGGAGAGTGGCAGTGGCATCGAGTCTCATGGAGTTTTTAGTTCACATTATTGTTAAAGTATACAGAGGATGTCAGGAGGTTCATCAGTGTATACAGCCATTTGTAAAACAAAGGGAAGGCTCTGTCATGGGTGTGGCTGCGTTTCAGCCAATAGTTTTGGAGATCTTGTCAAAATTGATGGAATTCTGAAAGTAGAAGAGCATCGTTAGATTTTCATCCAATCTGAAAGTCTTCTGATGTTTTGGTTTTTCAACATGACAATGAAACACCGAGACACACTGCCAATAAAAGTAAAGCTGGATAGAAAAACACTAAATGAAACTTCATTAGTCATGGATTGGCTTCCCAGGAGCCCAGATCTCAAAATTGTTGAAGCAGTGTGAGATCATTTTGATGGAGAACATAACAGAAAGTAGCCAGCATCCAAAGAAGAGCTTTGAATGTCCTTCAAGAAGCCTGGAAAACTCAAGACTTTTAAACAGTGCTGTGTTTAAACAATGTTACTGCCATAGGTAAAGTGTGAATCTAACTATATGTCACTTACTGTTGCCTGAAATTTGTTCAAATAAGTGTACTGGATGGCGTACACTGTTTGAGTTAAGACATGAGTGCTTTTCCAACCAGAGAAGAGTTGTTTTTGTTTTTATTTAATATCCCTTTCTTGCAACATCTCATTTAACTGTTTGAAACATAATGCAGTGAGGCTCCCAGGTAGTCTGGCATTATTATTATGATTATTATTATCATATTAGAGTCAAATGGTAAATGGCCTTTATTTGTATAGCGCTTTACTCGTCCCTAAGGACCCCAAAGCGCTTTACACAACCAGTCATCCACCCATTCACACACTGGTGATGGCAAACTACATTGTAGTCACAGCCACCCTGGGGCACACTGACAGAGGCCAGACACTGGCGCCACCTCTGACCACCACCACCAGGTGAAGTGTCTTGCCCAAGGACACAACGACCGAGACTGTCCAAGCCGGGGCTCAAACCGGCAACCTTCCGATTACAAGGCGAACTCCCAACTCTTGAGCCACGATCGCCCTCAAGACAAATAAAGGCATTTTTTAGTCTTCTTTTGAAGACTGAGAGCCAAACGTAACAGCTTAAAATGTCTGGCTAATATCAAGCTTAACCTGATATAACTATGCAGTCAATGAAAAATCCATTTATTTAAATTTACTGCTGGACTTAATAGATCAGATATTTTTCAGCAAGATTTCTGCTCATGTTCAGAACTGTCTGCACAATTACACTTTCACACATGTTTGATCTGTGTTTTGGGATGCTTTTTACCTCAGCTACATCACTGAAGCTAACCAAAATGAGAAGGAAAGGGAACATTATGCAAAGCGTTTATAAGTAACTTTTCTATGAAATATTTATACTTTCATGAACTTGGTGGTATGATGTTGTCCTGAATTATATCTAATCTACAGAAAAAAGTGCTGTCAGTCATATTCACTGATTTTTCATTTTTCTCATCTCTTTCTCTGGTTTCCTCTTCTGAATTCATACAAGTCAAAGTATAGGTGTAGGAACCAAGAGAACAAGTAATCATTACTGTACAAAATCAGAGTAAAATACATATAGACAACTATTTATATTCTGTGTGTTATTAACAGAATGCCAATCTTCATCTTTATTTTTTAACAAAAGAGTTATCTGATACCAATACTGTGTGTTGTTTACCTTTGAGGCACACTGATCTGATCAGACACTATACTCCAGTAGTCCTTGAAATTCAAAAAGTTCTAAACTGGTAAATTGTAAAAATCAACATGTGATTTCACCAGTGCCGAGACGAACAAAGTTAAAATTGAATCATAAGTCAGGCAGAAAGAGGCAGAATGATAACACAGTGCACCGCTGAGAGAATTTGGAACTGGAAAAATCTAATCTGGGATTTTAATGTGAGGATTTATCTTCCTTTTTTTATTTAGCTTGCTCTGTGAACCCAAAGCACAGCTGTTACCTTTGAACTGGCAATACAGGTCAAATGTGCTCGTGGGCCTACAGCTGGACTGCAGCTGATGGGCCCTGGAGCTGAGGGTGGCCCAGTTTAAACTAAAATAATGACAAAGTCAATGTTAATTCAATTCCATTCATATCATTTTGGTTCAGTTTTACTAATATAAATTCACAGTCACAGCCACCTAAAGATACTTTATATTGTAAAGACCCTACAGTATTAGAAAGATGTTTAAAGTCCATTTGTTTCATTAACGGTGGATCTTAGAAGGTTAACCAAAGCGATGGGTAACTGGGCATGCTTTCAATAATTTAAGGATCTCATATGTGTTAATTCACTTGTGGTTTGCTTTCCATATCACAATGGTCTAAGAAGCGTGTGGATGTCAGTGCACAGTGAGGTACATTTTTCTTCTGCCACTCTTTTGTTACCTTGGTTTTGGGTCATTCTTATGCTTGAAGACCCATCTGTGAGTCATCTTCAGTGTTCTGGCTGAGAGAAGGAGGCTCTTGTTCAGGATTTTGAACCCTTAATAGAAAAACAGCTGCAAAGCATGTTTCCTCCTCCGTGCTTAAGTGTGGGGGTGGTGTGATTTTGGTTTCATCTGACCACAGCAGTCTCTGGCAAATTTAAGATCATCCTGTACATGTTCCTTCTTGAGCAGAGGGACCTTGTGGACCCTGCATTGTGTGTTACCTCCCAGTTTGGGGCTGATCCGCCACCTTTCTCATGATCATTCTAACCCCATGAGGCAAGAACTTGCATGGAGCTCCAGACTGAGGGCAATTGGTGGTCATTTTTATTTGTTTCATTTCCAAATAATCACACCAATATTTGTCATTTTCTCACCAAGCTTCTTGCTGGTGGTCTTGTAGTCCATTCCACCCTTGTGCAGGTCAACGGTCTGCTTCTTGATGTCCTTTGACAGCTCTTTGGTCTTTCCCATGATGGTGGAGGGGGAAAAATCATTGTGAGGACGTGTGCTTTATACACAAAATAAGCTGCAATCAGTAAGAGTATCTGTAATTGACTAATTGTATGACACACAGCCAATCTGGGAATTCCGGTTGAGTTATTTCACTCAATGACATGCAAAGCGACTTATATCTTTTATGTAATGTATTTTTTTGTGGATTTTTGGTTAATATTCTTTCTCTCTCTCTCTGCTATAATGAAACTATTATAACAATTAGAGACTGTTCAATACAAATTCAACAGGGGATTCCCCCACTGTCCACACAGAGTCCTCGCTCTTTACATTCAAATAATTATTTCCCTCACTGTACACTGTAAACCCGAACAAGTTGACTGAACTTAAAACTTTTGTGGAAACTGATTACCTCAAAAGATTTAAGTACAAAAACTCATATCTTCTAAGTATGGGGTACTCAAAATTTGTATTTATTGTTAACCTAAAAATTGTAAATTATATTTTATATTTTATTAATTGAGCTTTACTCAAAGACTGTATACTTTAATTTCAATATTTTTGTGTTTCTTGTAGTTTATTATTTTGATGCAACACAATGCAATTATATTACAACCTAAACTCAAATTATCTGATTATTAATTAAAAGATATGTTGTGAGTGTAGACTACTAAAAAAAAAAAAAAGTACGGAAATTCAGTTACTTTACATTTTGTTTATTTAACATTTTTTCATGAAAATTTAAAAACATCACAAATGTTTTTATAAAACAACTAACATGGACATCGGCACCATAAAGTGAGCATTATAAATTCTGTGTAGAACATTTATCTTTTTATAAACTCACAAAGGACGACATCAGTCCTAATTGCATCTTTCTCAAAATACACAAAAATGCAAAACAAAAAGTCAAATACTAATCACTTTTTTTTAAATAGAAATGAAAAACAATTTTTTAAAATGGGTACAAAGATGATCAGCTTCCAAATAACCAGATAAGGCAGTCAAGTATAGGAAAATTAGGTAAACTGATGGAGTTAAATCCACCCAAAGCCTGTAGTAAACTTAAAGTGCTTAAAGTTCTTCAAACAAAGTGCTCAGTAACAGAGTGCGTGTCCTAACAAACATTGCCTTATATTCCTTAAGAGCATGTAGGCAGGGGTTTCAGGGGTTTGCCGTCATCAAGCCCCATGAAGATATTTTGGACTAAGGCAAATGTGTGAACCAGCTTCCTGGGGTAGTCTAAATGCAGAGCATAGATCAAGCCAAACAATAAAGCAAATGCATCTGCAAATCTGTGAATATCACGCATCATCTAGTCGCCTTTCACCAAAACAGCCATGCTTGAGGAAGTAAAATGGACTGGACTGGGAAGCGCCGTCGGTAACCACTGTGAGAAGGGCAACTGGAGTGTCAATGAGGGTCGACTCATCCAATGCGTCCGCCTGGAATAGACACAGTATCAATGGTAAATGGCCTGTATTTGTATAGCGCTTTACACATTCAGTCATCCAGACATTCACACCCATTCACACACTGGTGATGGCAGCTACATTGTAGCCACAGCCACCCTGGGGCGCACTGACAGAGGCGAGGCTGCCGGACACTGGCACCAGCGGGCCCTCTGACCACCACCAGTAGGCAACGGGTGAAGTGTCTTGCCCAAGGACACAACGACCGAGACTGTCGGAGCCAGGGCTCGAACCGGCAACCTTCTGATTACAAGGCGAACTCCCAAGCCACGATCGCCCCAATTAAATAAGTAAGGTTGGTTTGAGAGAATGTGACAAGCATGACCTGTAATCTAGCAAAACATTCAGCAGTGTAGTGGGTTACTTTGTAACGAGTTAGGGTACTCTACTTTTTTTGAAAAATGTACATTAACGTGTTAGCTTCTTGCATTACATAATTTGTATTTTTATTATTTTTCTAAAAAAAAAAAGTAATTTTTTATTTCATGACTTTATCTCAAAAAGAAACTAAATCTTGACTTCAGCCTGGTTTTTGGGCCACCTGCAGCATAGCCATAGTGCTGTGATACGCCTGTGCCCTGCTCCTGACCTGTGTGTGTGTGGGTTTTCTACAGAGAGGGTATTTTGTTTGTACAATTTGGTAGCTGCTAGGGTATTAAATTGTATTTAAAAAAAATCCATAGCATTTTATCTTACTGGCAGAATTTAAGTAATGCAAAAATACACTTACATTACATGTCTAAAAGAATTCTGGGTCCTCCTCCCGCAGGTATACAGGAAGGGCACGAAGTACTGCAGTGCGTTTCACGTTGATATCAGGCGCCTCCTAAAAAGGGAAAAGAAAAGTTCATTTAACGCAAAGTTTTCAGGTGTCATTCTTTGGGGAGAATACATGTTTATGAAACTGCATGACATCAGACTCTACTAAATTTTGGAGACTTTTCTTTTAAGATACAACCTTTCTGTCTCTTGTGACAGAGAGTATGTTTCTTAATCATTTGACAAAAACCCTACAAAGTATTTTAAAATAGTGTTCTCCAGATCAGAGCTGTGATCTATATAGAACATGGGGTTCAAAGCAAGGAAAAATTGTGTGTTTATCAGTGAAACTTTTAATTTGTGTTAATTTTATCATTATCAATATATGAAATCTTCACCTTAAGGGACTTAATGAATGGTTTCTTCAATAGATCTTTCAACTCACCTGTGTTTACTGTCTCCACCTGAAATTAATTGCAGTCTGAATTTTTTTTTCTTCTGTCTTTTTGTCTTTGGCCTTCAGCCTTGGAAGAAAAAATAAAAATATTGAAAACCTTATCAGCACACTAAATATACAACACCTTGCTATATTTCAATTGTTTTAGATAGAAGTTGCCACTGCTAGCTAAGTCACTTTTGAATGATGCTAATGAGAAGAAAAAAGAAAAAAAAACCTGCCGAACAATGAGGCTGCTGTTGTAAAAACGCCAACTTTCTTGCGTTGGCAAGGGGTCGTTAAAATATCACTAAGACCCTTTCTTTATGTGTGATTCTTCGTAAAACTGTGTTTTAATCGGTTAAAACTGTAAAACTGACGACATAATCTATGTTTGAAAAAGAGCGCGAACAACCGCGAACAACTATTCACCACCTGGGTCTGTGCTTTTTAACACAACAGCGCATTCGAAAACAAGTTATTGGCTGCAACATATTAATATACTTGCTTTTTTACGGAAAAAATAAACATAACGAAGGTTCAGTTTTACTTACAAGTTTCTCCAAATGTGTTCTCCAGTCGCTCGAGAAGGGCAGCCATATTGAACAGAATTTTCTGTCAACGTCGTTCAGGTTAGAGAGAAGACGTCATGACGTCCACATGCGGAGCTCGGAAAAAAACATTTACTCAAAAATCATAATTAAGAAAGCAGTATTTACTCTTAACTTCTAAGCCATGTAAAATTATAACTGTTTGAATCGTTAACCGAACAGAAAAGTTTTAAGTTGTTTCAACTTTGTGAGGAATTTTAATTGTTATATCCACAAACTTTATAAGTCAGGTAGACTGTTGGGGTTTACAGTGTACGTACAACTGCTTAAAAATTGAGACAGACCCCATACACTCCCATTAAAAAAAAAAAAAAAAAAAAAAAAAAAAAAAAAAAGCTTTACCACCCCACCACCACCCCTTTCAACACAGCAGCACAGTGTTTATCTTTTTTCTATTTTTAAACCCATTTAGGAGTCACCACAGCAGATTATCTCCTTCCTTCCCTATCCCTAGCATCTTCTGTCACACAAATCCTCTGCATCCATAAACTTTCTCTGGGTCTTCCTCTTCCCCTCCTGTCTGGCAGCTCCAACTTCATTACACCCGCCATCCCTCCTCTGCACATGTCCAAAACATCTCCGCCTTTCCTCTCTAACTTCTCCAAACGCTCAGTCTGAGCTGTCCCCCTCATGTACTCATTTCCACTCCTATCCATCCTGTAAACTTTCTTTTATAGTTAATAAATTACACATTTAAATTGCATTAGAGGTTCATTCATGAGCACAATTACTCAGTGAGAGGGTTTGTACCGTTTGATCTTATTTAGTGTTCAGTTGTACCGAGACACACAGGTGCACCTTGCTAACCAAGCCAGCTAGCCAGTGCTGATACTTTCCTGGGTCTGCCTTGTCATCCAAATAAAGTCACATAAATTTTTAAAGCAAAGAAAAATGGCAAAAGTCATGCTGGCAATAAGTTTTCAAGCAGCAGAATACAAGCCGACGACACAGCAGCATAAAAATAGATATACTTCTGGGGAGTTCATGTGTGCCCACATGCACATTCATACTGCTCGAGTATAATCCTAACTTTTCCATATTAAGCCAATCAGTGACAAACTATATAAAAAAAAAACTATAACATTTTAACCCCTAATGAACTTGTTGACAGATGGCATTTATCAACAGATATTTTATATTGGTGGTTTTTCTTCTACTAATACATAATCAGATGTACTTAAATGTAGTAGAATTTTTTTGCATTTGTATATTTTCAGTACAAATTCCTGATTATACTTGTGTGCCTTTACTCAAATAACATTAAAACACAGTAAAAGTACTGCCACCATAGAGTTAAGGGTTCAATTTACATAGAGGGCAGGTTGGTAACAGTTGGGAAGGTAAAAAGTTAAGGCTATATTTATTTCTTTCACGACATGACATTTATAGATGCAATTTGTGTTGAAATATCCATCAGCCCTACTGTTATATTTTTGGGAGCTTATAATTTTTAAATTAACTGTGGGAAGAAGCTGAAACAAGGGCAATAAACTAGAAAATCTTTTTACGTTTGTTTGCAACATCAAAATACTTCAGAGGAAGCACACTATGGGGAGATGCATGAAAAAAAAAAGTTTCTCTGACTCAAATCAACAAGCTCTTTTCTGGAAGCAGGATACTGAGTCATACAAAGAGAGTATCAAGTGCAGTATAATGTGGAGAAGAAGTCATGTTGGGAGAAAATCAGTGTGAAAATCAGTGATCTTGTCAGATCAAAATTAACCTCTGGGAACATGTTATCTTGTAAGAACAACATCCATATGTTGTTCTTACAGCAAGTCCTGCTGGAACACGATCGCTGTTCCAAAGATAGCACATTTTAATCTTGTGAGGATAAGATATTTTTGTAGGAATGCGATCAGGTTGTTGTGAAGTTATTGCAGTGTGAGAAAACAAGAACAGAAGTTGCAGGAGCAGGTCGTTACATTACGGAAACAAGATCGATTTGTGGAAAGAATTATTGAAATGAAAATCATGCAAGTCTAGATAATCTTGCTGTGCTGTTGTGACAGCTCCTTCCATTTGCCACAGATTTGACATTTTCCAGTGTAGTCGTTCTCCCAGTGGGCTCTTTGGGTCAGCGCCGCCTTTTATAAGGAGTGTCAGGAAAATGTAGAATAATTTAATTTTTCAAGTGTGTCCTCTGACTGTAATAAGTCTTTGGGGATGCAGCCACACTGCTGCCAAGTTTCATTTCACCTCGCTGCATGATGCAGATGTTATTTAGCTCTTTTTTGCTTTGAGAACAGACTAGAGCCAGAGTCAAGGATTGACTCATAAAATCAAATTCACAGCAACGATAAAAATGTAGCAAATAGTTAAAAACTTAAATCACCATTGTGGTTGTTTTCTCTCCCAGTATTTTTACTGGGTGTTGTTTATTAGGCAGTTTCTTGGAGTGGACTTAATTATGTAAGACAGACACACACTTATTGTACGGCTATATCAGTAATGCTGAGAGAAAATAGTTTGTTTTTAAGCTCGCAGCTCTGTTTGATTTGTTTTTCTTTTATAATTACAAAAACTTATGTGAGAACATTTTTGTTGTTTTCTCTGGTGGGTAGATAAAGTCAAACTTGCACCTTTTTTTTTTTCAAGTGCTGATTTCACATGAATGCAAAACTGTGGCATTGAAGAAAATTGATCAATTACCTCCAAGAGCAGTAATCAGTGCTGAAGTTGTGAAAGTTTCTAAATTAAATCCTGAAATATTGAGAAGTGAGCCAAATTAGATTTTTGTCATTTTTCCATTTGTATCTTAGCTTTTTGTTGTTGTCGTGAAATTCCAGCAAACAGATGCCGTTTGAGGTAACACAAGGACTCAAGGCTACCTCAGGATACCTTAAGAGTCTGTTACACAGCAGGAAAATTACAGGTCCGCTGCTGTCAGCGAGAACATGCAAATACCACACAGCATGCACACAGGTGACTGATGAGCTCGAACGAGGTCATGAAGGGATGAGGATAACCACTGAGCCAGTTGACTATCACTGTGTGAGGTCATTAGTGTGTTTGATTACCTTATTTTTAATCATCAATATTCCCATAATATTCATAAAGTCTTACTGTTTTATTAAGCCTTCTTTTTTCTGAGTGTGTGAATGGGTGGATGACTGGATATGTAAAGCGCTTTGGGGTCCTTAGGGACTAGTAAAGCGCTATATAAATACAGGCCATTTACCATTCTCTATTAGCCTTTTTACTGTAGTTCTGTGTTATTAGAATTTATTACAGGGCTGCACAAGTTACTCTTTATTTAAACAGTCTAGAGAAAGAAACAACAGAATCATATTATTACCAGTAAAACAGATAGCCAAAACAGAAAACACAATCAAAAACAACCTGTGGCTTTTCTAGGCAGAGTTTCCATGTTCTAGCTCGTCCATGTGTTTGTTATGGATACCCTGGCTTCCCCCGACAGCCCAGAGGCATGCGCTTCAGGTTAACTGGTGATTTTAAATTGGCCGTATAGGTGTGAGTGCAGCCATCTGTCTCTCTGTATTAGCCCAGTAATATATTGGCAGCCTGTCCAGGGCGTAACCCACCTCTCACCCAATGACAGCTGGGATAGGGTGCAGCCTAACTGTGACCCTGTACAGGATTGTGAAAGAGGATGGACGGATGGAATCAGAAAATAAAAAAATAAAAGGTTTTCAAGCTAACCATCAGTTACCAAAACTTTTCTCATTTAGAGTCAACAGCTGTATGTACTGTTGATCCCATTACAGTTTGTGCTTCTTATGGAACAGTTTTTGCTCCAACACAGGGAATTTAATAAAAGTGATTGTGGAGCACCAGTGTGCTACTCACCACTTTTGGATGAATGCAACTTTGTGTGCTTATCCAATTTGAAATGCAAGTTAAAGGGTGGCTCCTTTGACAGTGATATTGCTAACGTGCACCAGCAAGTGATCAGAATGGCACTTCCAGGGAGTCGTGCAAATGTGGCGAGAGCAGTGTATGGCTGCTGAAAGGGAGGACTTCAAAGAAAAAGGCTGAATTTAAATGAGGTTTTTGCTCTTTATAGGTGCAGTGGTGGAAATTTTTGATGGCACCTCATAAATTTATCATGTAACTCCAAAATAGTGGTATTCATGAACATCAATGGATGAAGAGCTTGCCATTTTTACATTTTCTTTCATTATTACACATTGCCAAGAGATCGGTGAATAAGGAATATTTTTGGAATGAGGTTGCTTCTTTGTTGCATTTGATTCATACAAAATCACAGAGATGGACATGGCTGAAGAGTTTAGGTATTTGAAATGCTTTGCTACAGGGAAGAAAGTCACTAAACAGAAATGGCTGCAGCCAAACCCTCTAACAGCGGACCAATCGATGGCAGCTGTCAGCAAAATAAAGTATGGAGAATCTGACCTTTCTCTTTAAGACTGCAATATGATAAATAAATTAAAAAAAATTTAAATGCTAAAAAAAAAAAAAAATAGCTATATAGAGCAAACATTTGTGGATTTTTTTCTCTAGTCACCTTAACTTAAACCTACTTAAGTCTATGAAAGCTAAGCATTGCTGACATCCATAAACTGTATATTAAAGATGGACATTGTGACATCACACACTGGTTAGTGAAGTCCTGTTGTGCAAGCAGATGGTAGGTGTTAAAGGTTAAGATTAGTCTGTGAGTGTGTGTGAATGATAGATAAAATCACTTGTACAAAAAATGTTTGTGTGAATGTGATCATTGATGGGTGAGGAATGCTGTATAAAATGCTCAAGTAGAGTAGAAAATGTAATTATTTAAGAATCAGTCCGTTTATCCTCTACCATGATTTTCCCACAGACTTCTAATCATCAGATTTTTGCAGCCAAAGAAGTCGCCCCCTGCTGGCCTTTGGGGGCAATACAGGTTTAAGGCAATTCTGCACTGGCTTCTTTCAGAATCTGGAGCTATGTTAATCTTTTTACATACAGACAACTCAAAAAGATCTTCTTTGATGCATTTTAACACCATTCAAAGACATTATGGATGATCAGGTTTGAATCATATGATGCTGCCATCAAAGCC